CTACCCATGAACCTCCAAGTAGAATAGGTGATCGTACCATTTTATGATTGATTATTATACAGTTACACAACTAAGGTAGGGGCCTAAATAATTACCTATACTATTCTGTGGGGTTCCGTATTATAAGCATAGTATAATGGGCCCCAACCCTAAACCCTAAACCATAAACCCTAAACTCTAAACCCTAAACCCTAAACCCTAAACCATAAACCCTAAACCCTATTCTAATTATTAAGGCTCCTAGTATATATAGGGACCTCAAGGGGGGCTTCGAGGGGGCTCTGAGGTCGGGAGTTGCCATTGGAGATGCCATGATAAATCAAAGAACTTATGCGTTCTTTTTTAGGGTTTAGGGTTTAGGGTTTAGGGTTTAGGGTTTAGGGTTTAAGGAAGTTGAGTAAAAGTCCTGATGTGATTAGGTGTTTGGGGTCGGGGTTTCAGGGTTTGGGGCTTGAGCACATAATCTTACATACTTAGTTCCTCGCGAAGGACGAGGGCCTAGGGATTGGGGGGGGGGTAGGCCCGGTTCTGGGGCCCTAAACCCTAATTCCTAAGCCCTAAACCCACCTCATGACCTTGCCACTCAAGCTTGGGGGGGTGGTCTCCGAAGCCCTGAGTCCCTGGTTTAGGGTTTAGGGTTTTGGGTGAACCATCTTATACCCGTCCAATCCCTTGACCCGAAGCTCTAATGATCTTCGAAACCAGGGGCGAGCCGACATCAGAGAGCTGGTGTTGCCCTTGCCTCGCGCCCTCATCGGAAAGGCGGGTTGAGAGTTGGTGGGTCTGTTTTGGGTAGGGCGGCGGGCTTCAAGAACATCTGTGTTTGAGCGGCTAGACTGCTAGACCCTCAAGCCCGAAGACCCCAAACTACCCTAAACCCCGAAGGCCCTGAACCTTAAATTTACTAAACCCCCAAGCCTAACATCGTAAACCCTAGAACCTGGAAACACCCCACAGATGCAGCGCACGACTGGACTGGCAACCTGCAAAAGCGAACGAACCAAACTCCGGTTTATAGTTTATAGGATTTAGACAACTGCCACCGCGATCATCATCATCATCATCATCACCATCACCATCATCATCATCACCATCACCATCATCATCATCATCATCATCACCATTTTCATCTTCATCTTCATCTTTTTCTTCATCGTCATCGTCATCACCAGCACCATCATCATCGTCATCATCGTCAGTGTCACTATCCATCATCATCATCATCACCACCACCACCATCATCATCATCATCATCATCATCATCACTGCCACCATCACCATCATCATCACTGCCACCATCACCATCATCATCATCATCGTCGTCGTCATCATCATCATCAGTATCATCATCATCATCACCCTCACCGTCACCATCATCATCATCATCATCAGCAGCAGCAGCACCATCGAGCGATACTGAGGTCTTCTCTTTCTGCATCTAAACCTCCTCCTCGCCATCACCGTCGTCACCATTGCCACCAGCACCACCACCCCGACGTTTGCCACCATCCCCACAGCGTCACCACTCTCAGCCATGTCGACATCAGCAGTGCCTCGAACTCTTGCAACCACAGCTCTACTTCAAAATGCTGGTTCAACACCCCAAACCCTGAACCCTAAGTCGTAATTCCTGACCAGCGAGCCCCAATTGCACAACGCAGAATTCCGAGAGCCATAGACTAGCAAAGCACTTGAATCTCGCAAGAAGATGCTCAAGTTCCTGCAGCTGTCATAAACTATTAGTATCTAGCCAGCGTTTTCATCGCTAACGGTTCATACCATAGCAGCAGCGGCAATAGCAAAGTATTACTATTAGGATTACGACTATAGCTGCCAGAACGATTGTCATGATGATTGCTACAGTTGCAATTATAATAATCATGGTTACGCTCACAACTATTCTCACTTGTATTGTAGCTCTAGTCATCAGCATGATCATCGTCATCATGTTCATCTTCATCTTCATAGTCATAATCATAATCATGACCATGACGATGTCCAAGATCATGATGATGATGGTGGTGATGATGATGAACCCTAAACCATAAACCCTAAACCCTAAACCCTTAGATCCTCATTGTTGTTGCCAAGCCCAGCCAGGATTGACCGGAGAAGCTCTGAGCCCGCGTTCTTGGCGCTGGAGCAGACGCTGCAGGCCGGGGGACGCTTAGAGTTTAGGGCTTTGGGGGTTGAGGAGCTAGTTTAGGGTTTAGGGTTTAGGGTTTAGGGTGTGGGGTTTAAACCCTAATTTTATAGGGTTTCGATACCTCAACCCGAAGCCCCTCAATCCAAGAGCTCACTCCAACAACCCGAAGTTTACTTTTCACACCTTCGGCAAGGAGCGCAGAAGATGTGTAATGCATGCCTGCCTTCGCCCTGCATCCCATCCCGAAGGATGAGCTTTCAGCTCGAGTTTCCAAACTCGTAAACCCTAAGCCCGAAACCCTAAACTCGAAGCCCTGGACTCTAAGTTGCGATGCTTGCCAGGAGAGGCGGAAGGAGCACGAGTTTCTCAAGTTCGACGAGGTTCTCACCCTGATTCTTTGGGAGTTGTCATTTACAAACTACCTGAAGGTTCAGGGGTACTTCTGCGTGGGGTCATTGCATGAATTACTTGCGGTCACAAGTCCATAATCTTTCAGTATCCAAGAGTGTAAAGCAAGTCTGAGAACGCACTGATGGGACTGGAACTTCATGAGCCAAAACCACAGAACTTCTCTACCACAATGCGGTATTGCCCCAGCCCAACACCTGCTCGCAGATCGCACGTACTTGTCGGTGAGTCCGAACGGCCCCTGTAACCGAACCCTTATATCAAGCTCCTAGGCCTTAAGCCCCTAATTCCTAAACAGCCTTATTTAGCCTTTAGCTCAGAAAAATAATTTAGGTTTTTAGCAAGAACTCACGAAAGGAAAAGGACCAGATCTGCGCCAGCCCTAAACTCTGTACCTTGTCTAAACCCTAGATCCTAAACCCGGCTGCGGGGCACGCGACGGGCGTTCCGAGGGGCATGAATGTCCCCGTCAAAGCGACCCGGGCCCAAATTGACCTGGCCACGCGTCGTTACTACAACGGGGGGGAGCAGCTCGGAGGAGGCTACTCGCAGCTGGGACGGTCTCCAGCAAAACGGCTCTTGAGCTCGTGCTCCACCAGGTTCGGTGCCACGGACTGGTATTTCCGTTAATTACGGTGTGGGGTTTAGGGTCTAGGGGTCTTGGGGTTTGAAGGTTTAGGGTTTAGGACCCGAATGCCCAGGCTTTGGCATTGGGCGGGCGAAAACGAAATTGCTCGGAAGTGCACTTCGTCCGCTTAGCGGTCTGTCGCTGCCGAGTCAGGGGTTCTCGATTTTGATCGAGGGCATCAAGGTCATACACGATGATCATACACGATGACCAGTTGACCTGGCGTGGCGTCAGACTCAATCCCAAAAAGCGTCAGGTTTATTTCTCCCCATACCTTGAGGTGTCAAGGGGAGTCATGGTTAGTGGAGTCCTTCTTCACGTTAGAACTTCCTCTTCGGACCTGCCTGGTCAGCTCCCTGCTAGAGCCAAGGACAAGCTTTGGAGTCTGCGACATCTGTTTCGGGCAGAAACACCACTGGGTGGGCGTGTCGACACGTTGAACCCTCCCTAAACCCTAAACCCTACACCCTTAACCCCAAACGCTAAACCCTAAACCCTAAACCCTAAACCCCCTAAACCCTAAACCGGAAACCAAAGCCCTCTTTAAGGAACCCTGAACCCCGCCCCAAACCCTAAACCCCAAACCAAAGCCCGGAAATCTGAAACCCCACTTCAAACCCTAAACCCTAAACCCTAAACCAAAGCCCTCTTTAAGGAAAACTGAAACCCCACCCCAAACCCTAAACCCCAAACCAAAGCCTTCTTTCAGAAATCTGAAACCCCAGGCCAGGGACCTCCTTTGGGAAGCCCTAGAGGCCGATCGCGGACCCCAAAAAGGCGGGCCCCGGGCTTTTGGGGGGAAGTTGGGGTTTCAGGTTTAGGGCTCCTTTTTGGGGGGTTTAGGGTTTAAGGTTGGGGTTTTAGGATTTAGGGTTGAAGCTTAAGGTTCTAGCTTTAGGGTTTAAGGTTTAGGGCTCCTTTTTGGGGGGGTTTAGGGTCGACTGTTGGGTTTTAGGGTTTTGGGTTTAAACTGTAGGTTCTAGGTTTAGGGTTTAAGGTTTAGGGCTCCTTTTTTCGGGGTTTAGGGTTTAAGGTTGAGGTTTCAGGGTTTAGGGTTTAGGGTTTAGGTTCTAGCTTTAGGGTTTATGGTTTAGGGCTCCTTTTTGGGGGTTTAGGGTTTAAGGTTTTAGGGTTTAGGGTTTAAACTGTAGGTTCTAGGTTTAGGGTTTAAGGTTTAGGGCTCCTTTTTGGGGGGTTTAGGGTTTAAGGTTGAGGTTTTAGGGTTTAGGGTTTAAGCCTTAGGTTCTAGGTTTGGAGTTTAAGGTTTAGGGTTTAGGGTTAAGGGCTCCTGTAGGGTTTATGAGGCTGTGGGGATGTAAGGCTCCTTTAGGGTTTTAGGGGCTGCAGGGGTTTAGGGTTTAGGGTTCAGGGCCTAGGGGTTTAGGGTTTAGGCTTCGGGTCTTAAGGTTTTACGCGTTTGGGGTTCGTTTAGCGAATCTATAGGTTTGAGGGCTTTAGGGTTTTAACGTTCAGGAGTTAGGAGTTTAGGGTTTAGGCTCCAGGGATTCGGTGCCAAGGTGTTGCTGGTTCAGGATTTAGGCTTTTTTCTATGCTTTCCCAACACCCCTTAATTGAGGGGTAGACTTTTAACATCGAATGCAGTCTTTCAACATCGGTCTTTGGGATGTTTTCGGACTAAAGGTTTCAGTTTAGGGTTCAAGGGTTGGTACTTGTGGGGTTCGCGGCTTAAGGAAGTAAGGTTCAGGGTTTACGGATTGGGCGTCGGGTGGGTCGACCAACATCTGTGGCAGGTGGATAGTCTAAACCCTAAGCCCGAGACCCTAA